TCGACCGAAACGACCGAAATTAAGAAATATATCGTGATATCAATTTTGGCCATATCGTCCAGCCCTACTCCTGTGGTTCATTTCATTTTCCAGCAGGATTTGGCACCTGCTCACACTGCCAAAAGCACCAAAAGTTGGTTAAATGACCATGGTGTTGGTGTGCTTGACTGGCCAGCAAACTCACCAGACCTGAACCCCATAGAGAATCTATGGGGTATTGTCAAGAGGAAAATGAGAAACAAGAGACCAAAAAATGCAGATGAGCTGAAGGCCACTGTCAAAGAAACCTGGGCTTCCATACCACCTCAGTAGTGCCACAAACTGATCACCTCCATGCTACGCCGAATTGAGGCAGTAATTAAAGCAGAAGGAGACCCTACCAAGTTATTGAGTACATGTACAGTAAATGAGCATACTTTCCAGAAGGCCAACAATTCATTAAAAATGTTTTTTTTTATTGGTCTTATGGAGTATTCTAATTTGTTGAGATAGTGAGTTGGTGGGTTTTTGTTAAATGTGAGCCAAAATCATCACAATTAAAAGAACCAAAGACTTAAACTACTTCAGTCTGTGTGCATTGAATTTATTTAATACACGAGTTTCACAATTTGAGTTGAATTACTGAAATAAATGAACTTTTCCACGACATTCTAATTTATTGAGATGCACCTGTACTTTAGACTAAATCGTATGTTGTCGCCTTGCATTATGAATCTGCGTCCTATGTATAGTAAGGATTTCTTCCTCTTAATTCTCATGACAAATTTAGAGGAAGCTTGTACAGAATTGGAAAACACCACTTCCTAAAACAAGCTGAGTCTTAACTTTAACCTATTTCTGGGTTTGAATCTTTCAGGCAGCACTTTGCGATAAACACATTGCAAATGAACACAAGCGAATTAACTAGGCTGTTTCTTCTGAAATTAAGTATATTCTTGTTTTAATTGTTCATTGTCACTTTCCGGCTATCATATCTGCCAGCAGATGAGCTGACTCTTGATCTGGCAGTTGTAGAGCATACTGGTTTACAGGACAAAGGTAACAGCCCACTGATAAGTGTAGAACATTGGACACTGAAAGAAGCCTTCCATTGGTTTACTTCAGGTCACGTTCAATGTGATTTTAATGAGTGTTTAATTCAAATAGGATCTATACAATTAATTGAACCCTTGAACAAAAGGGAATTCAGACAATGACAGGATTCTTTCTCCTTTTTACAACTGAACCATTGTCATTTCTTACAGCTGATATAATGTGTGCTGATTGTCATGCTATTTATGAACAAAATCTGTTTCTTAAAGTATATTTTACTTTACAGCTTGTATATTAGAAATGGCTGTTTCTTATTGTTTATTATCTGGGGCTGCTAAGAGTTTCTGACTTTTTGTGGTTTTATAGTTGCTATTTCAATTTTATTTGTTTTATTTCCTAAGTTTTGTACTGCTGGTGACATAACCTGGACTTTGAGCAGTTTCTGGCATGGTTGTAACCGTGGGATGAGGCATGTCGGGGTCGTCTCCTGGTTGACATTATTCTGACTGTTAAAGCACAAACTTTTTATGATGTCTAGTGTGGTACTCCCATTACTGCTTATTTTTAATTCAGTAAATGCATTAATAATATCCAGGTTTTACAGGATGTCATCATTTGAGTGGTGCCTATTTTTTTATCGTACAAAGTGTTTCCACTGAGATGTTTTTTGTGCATCTTTTCAATGACTCCATATCTTTCTAAATTCCAAGATGTGTAAAAGATGTGCTTTGGGAGACACACTTACAAGAGCTCAGTCCTCTGTAGGGATTTCACAGCCATGTGAACGACTGCTAGTAACCTCTCATGTGCCTTTTTTTTTTCTCCCTCCTTTTTTTTTTCTCCTCTCCCTCTCTTACTCACTCACCCACCTTCTCTTCTGTCATTCTTTCCAGTTGCTTGTTTTCTCACTTGCTTTCTTGTTTTTATAAAGTCCTTTGGAACACCTCAGCGTTGGAGCTGTACAACCTCCAAACAGAAGTCATATTCTTGTTTTTTTCTCTCTTTGTTTTGCTGTCAGTCAGAAAGCTGCAACACAGAAGAGTCTATTATAGGAGAGAAGTTTTCCTCCGATGGCATCCAGACTATTGGAGAGGATAAACATGATGTGCTGCTAGTGACGCAGAGAACAACATGGGCAGACACTAACAAATCGTCACGCTAGGGGTAAGTGGAGCTCTCACTCACAATAACTGACAGGCTACGTCCACACGAAGCCAGAGCTTTCCCTATCCAATCTTGTTTTTTTCCCTCGTCTCAAAAAATATCTGCGTCCACACGAAACCACAAAACCGACATAAAACGATGTAGTATACATGCCAGACCAGCATCTGGCGCTGTAATTCTGCCACAGAGATACACTAAAAATGGAAAAGAAGACTTGGACTATGCGCATAAACCTTGCGCGCGGTATACAAACGAACATGGAACAATACATTTATTAATCTGTGTTAATGTTAGTTAATAAAAAGACAATCGTTCAGTGTTTGTTCATGTTTTTGTTGTTGTTACGTGACGTGCTGATGACGTCATTGTTTCAGAAAATATACGGATTTGCTGTCCACACAAAACGCAAGGGTGGCGTTTTCAGATTTATCCACTCTGGGACCCGGTTTCAAAAAATATTGGTTTCACTCTCCCAAAACGCTGGATCCGTGTGGACGAAACGCCTATACGATACAAAATGTATGCGTATACAGCTAAACGCGTCTCCCTGTGGACGGGGCCTTATTCTGCTGCTTCAACTCACTCTATATCAGGGGTGTCCAATCCTGTTCCTGGAGGGCCAACGTCCTGCCGAGTTTAACTCCAACACACTTGCCTGGAAGTTTCTACTAGTTAGTCTGAAGACCTTGATTAGCTGGTTCAGGTGTGTTTAATTAGGGTTGGAGTTAAACTCTGCAGGACAGTGGCCCTTCAGGAACAGATCTGGGGCAAGTTCAAGCTCAAACCGGTGTGCACCGTTTTGCTACGGTTTATGGTTTGAACGACATGTTTCCTGGAAACGGTGTGCAACGGGGTTTGAGATGCGTTTTCTCTTGTTTGGTGGGTGTGTCAAACATGTCAGCCCAATCAGCAGCAACGTGTATGTAAACCACACGGTATTAAAGAGACAGCTTGCACAATGTAATTAACATACAAATAAATTCACAAGAGCAAGAATATTGTTTGCACATGTTTATTTACATTAAAGGCAAAATAACTGAAATAATAAGGGCACAAGTATAGATCTGGAACTTCTTTAAGTCTGTCTAAATATAATTTAGTAATTGCAATGTGTTCTGGTCCATATCCTTTCCTTAGGAAGGTGTGCTAGACACTGATTAATGTAACATAAAAATACTATACATATTTATATATTTCTTATATATGTCTCGGAGGTAAGAAGTGGATTATCCTTCACCTGAAATGTTTGTCTTTTCATCCTGAAATGTGAGGCAAATGTTGGATCACAATAATTAGGAACCACAGTTT